CTATTGGTCGTAAAGGAATATTAACTTTATGAATTTTTGGAACTCCGTAAAAATGTGGTGTTTTACTATTGTGTGGTGTTAATTTTGATCTAACGGAATAATAATAATAATAATCTAACATAATCTAAGGCAAAAATTTTTGAGGCGAAATACCCAAAAAGAAGTTTGTAAAAAAATGAGAATGGGTGTTTGTGGGCCTTGGATCAGAATCAATGGGAAAACATGAAGTCCAACATCATCAAACTAATGGGTTTTTAGGCCGTCGCTCGGTAAAATTTCTTCCTGACGTTTCGCAAGCACGAGTTGCTTGCATCTTCAGAAGTGGTTTGCTTGAACGCTTACACTGTTCCGATGCGATTCCTCGGGCGCCGTCCGTATTTATGCACCGGTTGCATAAAGAGGGACGCGCCCGACAAGCAAACCACTTCTGAAGATGCAAGCCACTCGTGCTTGCGAAACGTCAAGAAGACGACGTCCTAAAAACCCGAAAAACCGCACAAAACTAGATGAATATAATTTATAAAGTTCTAAAGGTTTAATCTCTGATGGTTGATTTTAAAAAGAAATTAGTGACTTCCTGAATTAAATATCTGTTTGCAAAGCTTAAGTCGCCCCTAAATCGCGCGCCCCATTGAGCCGTTGTCGGATTACGCCCTGTTGACAAGGAAGTGTTGAAAAGGGCCGTTAAAGCGCGTTTAGTGGTCGCGTGCGAAATACAGGGCTTACAAAAGGTCTTGCCCTCGAATATGAATCGTCCTTGCTATCTTCCTAACCCAGGACGTTTCGAGATGATTAAATTGAGCGGTTTATCTCATTTTGCCATGAAAAGTGCCCGAGCGATGGGAAGTTCATTCATTTATGTATTCACTATCGAGCAGGGAACGCAAAAAACGCTTCTACCAATTATTCAATGAGTTGAAGCAAACTATTTAGTGCAATGCGATGAACTTCATGGAGTCTCCAAGCATCAGTAGCATCCAAGCTGTTCTGATTTGAGTGGTTTGAGTGGTTTGTTTAATAAGCACTCCATATATTTTTACGATAAACTTTCACTGTGGGCTTCAAAAATACATATGAAGACCCAATTTCAAGACAAGGTGTTCAGCGCGCGATCTTTTGCTTGTATTTTCATTTTCAATCTACAATCTCTTTCTGATTGAAACGGCCCATCTTGACCATCTAACAATACGCGCTAACTAGCAATTTGCCTGCGCACGATATAATTATAGATAATCATACTGGTCGACTTTGTCCTCTAATACACAATAATCTATTCCGAACTAACCAGATCAGCATTTGATAGATTCTTATTTAGCTAATAAGTAGGAGCATGTTGGAGCTTAGAAGCGCCAGCACATTCGCGTGATTCGGGGTTGTACAAAAGACAACACACTGTATATGGTTTTTCTTGCTTCCAACCACAGCAAGCTTAATAAATGTTGCGGCAGATGCCGACCATTAAAAGCCCATTACAATTTAACAGGATCAGCTTAATTAATTGCGCATATTTGAAGAATAATAGGCATTCCGTCAAATGATATGGGAGGCAAAGCTATGCAAATTATTGCCCGCACATAATTTACTGCAAGCTGCCTGAAAAATTGACTCGTATAGTTTGTTTTTCCGCAATTTTATTAGTTCTTTCAATTAAGAAACAAACGCGCACCGTTACCGGCGGCTCAAGCCCGATGGTCAACACAAATCGTTATTTTCAGATTCTAATAGCTGATGTTTATTAAGCAAAAAGCCCGGAAGCCGCAAGGCAACAGCTTGTGGTTAATGTGCCGCTTAATCAGCAGTTATCAACACAGTTTAAAAAATAATTCCAGCTACATTCATTGTGAATATTATCGGCCAGTGGCCGAAACTACACCGGATTAAGCCATAAAAACGGAAATTAGCAGTTAACTAAGTGGAGATCTTGATTGGGGTGATTGCCACTACATATACAGAGCCTGCGGACTTCAGATGCAAATGACTAAAGCCCGAGTCTCATGCATCCGTTTGTACGGTGATACGATGGTACGAAAGTGTTTCTATTGGTTGGAGATCTGTCAATTCGTCCTCCGTTCGTAAGACGGCGGACGAATTGACAG